AGTGGTGGGTGGATCGATCCAAATATCAATAGTATCGATACCAAGTCGGTATCGGTATCGGATCGATACTAGCCTGGTGAGATCGATTCTTTACTTTAAGTTCCGCTCTTGTTTGCAATGCTGCGGTTTCGGCATAGAGGAAACAGCCAGGTCGCCGGACTCGCCGCTCCTGTGTCAGGGCAGAGCAGGCACACTTTGCCCCCCCCCCCCCTTGTGTTTAGATGTTGCGCCGTCACGTGAGTCACGTGACGTGACTTAGACGCGCAAAGCAAACAATCAAGCAAGTTGCCGGCTCAGGTTCATCAGCACACGCACAGAGAAAATACACTAGAAGAATGGCAGAGAGGAAGAGGAGCGCCGTGTGGCTGTATTTTCAAGCCGAAAACGAGACAACAGCAAAATGTGGGATTTGTAAAAAGCTAGTCAGGTATAGTGGAAACACTACCAATTTATATAAACATATAAAAACCATCCAAAAGAAAACATTATTTATTTATTTAAGATTTTTCTGAAAAAAATGTGATAATAAAGCATTTTCTATTTAATTTAACTTTGTCCTAATTCTGTCCTGGGTTTTAACTATTTAATAATAAAAAAGGAAACATCACAAAAAACACTTAAGGTCATGAAAATTAATTGAGATTTAGCAATTCAATGACGCATCCACCTTATTTATTGAAAAGTATCTGTATCGGTATCGGCGATACTGGCCCGTATTTTCTTGGTATCGGATCGATACCAAAATATGCAGTATCACACACCACTACTTCAGACTGTTATTATTGGTGTTTCCCAACATTTGAATAACTTTATTAACAACTATTTTTCTATAAACTGATCATCACAGATGTTAAAGTACAAGTACCTCACGGTGTATTTCTGTGTGGTAGTACTGCAGTATGTTTGTCCTGCAGGGTGGAGTCAAAGTGACACCTGCTGGTGACATCAGATCACTGCACCATTGTTTTATTTTTGACACTGAAATCGTGGATGATTGAATTCTTTAATTAAACCAAGTTTCTTGCATTATTCATGCTTCTTTAATGTGCATTAATGTGATCAGGGTTTTGAACAAATGAATATCAGATGTGTTGTCTATAACCAACATGATGTTACTGTTCGTGTTAAACACAAGGATCAACCTCATCACACCACAGACGCCGCTGCACGTCGTGTCTCAGGTTTGTGTGTGAATGTGTGTATGTGTTACCATTAATGGCAAATAACGATTCATTTTTAGATAATAATCTATATAAGATATAATCTCTATAATTTCTGATATAATGTTCACAGTGACAGTAGATTCCTGAGTCTGTGCTGCTTATGTTTTATTGTTGTTATGTTAGAGCCAATCACCTGTCCTGGGTTTCCATGACAACCTCCAAAGACAAATGGTTTAAATTCACTTAAATAAGATTTTAAAGTACAACTGCAGACCTGAGACAGGGCATGCTGCGATGTCTGAGTTGTGATGGTGTTGATCCAACCTTGAAGCAAAGTGAAGTGACGTGTTTCTTTCACTGAATGATAATAATAACTAGAAAATCCCATGGAAATGTTGAGTGCCACGGGGGCGACTGCCGGGTTAGGGTAAAAAATCTTCTGTGTGTCACTGTAGCGATGACATCACGCAGCCCTTGGCTGTCAGAGGTCAGGTCAGGAGCTGCCGTTGCCATGGCAATGTGAAAATCTGCCCAGAATTTGGCTTCTACATGGCTTCAAACAACTGCAAATTATGAGAAAACCGTTACTTCTTTTCAAAAACCGAAAACACCGTGACAGACACTGAAGCCAGAAGTTTCTACAGTCTGTATTTTATTCAGATATTCCTTAAAATGAGTGAGTAAGCTCAAACTCGGCACCCCCGTTTAAATTTTGTGCAGACCCTGCCTGTCAAAGTTACATTTTATGAATCCCAACAACTATGTCTACATTTTCAGAAAGAATTATTTGTCTCCTTTTTACGGTTTGGCCGTGAGCTCGAGTTAAAAATAAAAATAAAGGTTATTTTTTACTGCTTCACGCACTCTAGCCAACTGACGCTGTCACTCTAACTTTGAAGAAAAAGTGATTTCCACTCCTCCTTTGAGTGCTCATAGTTTGAAAAGTTTACATGTTATGTAAAAACAGTTGCTGTGTTTTGGAGAGAGCAGAAGTTTTCCTCCGTTTTATAGTTTGAATCACATTTCTACGTGCAGGTATGAGAGAGCTGGGTGACTCAGAAAAAAGGGGAAATTTTATAGAAAAAAGGTGAAATTTTGTGGGCTTTTAAAGAAAATTCTAATGCATTCCTAATGCATTATTTATTCCCAGTTTTTTGGGAATAACTTTGGGAAAAATTGGAATTTTAACACCAAAAGTCATAGCACCTCTTTCGGGATCAAGACGCACGTTTTGATGTATATATTACCGGGGTTTTCGCCGCCCAAGGCACTCCTCTCAGCTATTCTAGCCGTAGAGGAGTGCCTCGGAGCTGAGCACCCGTGGCACTAATAATAAAATAAAGATAATGAAAACAAATCTGTGACTTAAATATCAAAGAACTTTTTTCCTCATACATTTACCACTTTAATCCAAGAGAATGTCAGAGTTTTGTTTTCTTGGCCCTAAAATGTCCTGAAGCCCTTAAAATTTTTTAGTTTTTCAAAGTAAAGGACAAATAAAAGATCTGACCTCTTTCTGTTCCTTTCAAATTAAAACACACAAGATTAAGGAACAAATGATGGACTCCAGTTTAAAACTAAAGTTTTATGTTTTTTTCTTTTTATTGTAACAAACGTAAGTTTTTTTTTAACAAACTGAATAAAACACATGAAGAAGAATCTGATTTAGGTTAAAAACAGTAAGAAAACATTTTGTTAAAAACATTCATCTGTGTATCATCATCAGTTCATCATGTAGAAACTCATCAAGGTGACTGATCCCTGAAATCACTGAAATCTGATCCTGAAACTGCTGGTGACTGAAGATGCACACAGACCTCTGGTCTGTTTACTGCTGATGTTGTTTCCTGTCAGGACGTCTGTTTGGTTGTTCGTTTACTGCTGATGCTGTTGTTTGTCTGTTTTTTCCTGTGAACCATCTTGTTTCTTGTCAGGATGTCAACTTAGCTGAGATTGCATTGATTTGTTTTCTGTCAAGATGCAGCCATTTCCTGTCATGTTGTGTCTGGCTGCAGCTGTTGTTGTTTCCTGTCATGTTGTGTCGGATTGTAGTTGTTGTTACCTGTCATGTTGTGTCGGATTGTAGTTGTTGTTACCTGTCATGTTGTGTCGGATTGTAGTTGTTGTTACCTGTCATGTTGTGTCGGATTGTAGTTGTTGTTACCTGTCATGTTGTGTCGGATTGTAGTTGTTGTTACCTGTCATGTTGTGTCGGATTGTAGTTGTTGTTACCTGTCATGTTGTGTCGGATTGTAGTTGTTGTTACCTGTCATGTTGTGTCGGATTGTAGTTGTTGTTACCTGTCATGTTGTGTCGGATTGTAGTTGTTGTTACCTGTCATGTTGTGTCGGATTGTAGTTGTTGTTACCTGTCATGTTGTGTCGGATTGTAGTTGTTGTTACCTGTCATGTTGTGTCGGATTGTAGTTGTTGTTACCTGTCATGTTGTGTCGGATTGTAGTTGTTGTTACCTGTCATGTTGTGTCGGATTGTAGTTGTTGTTACCTGTCATGTTGTGTCGGATTGTAGTTGTTGTTACCTGTCATGTTGTGTCGGATTGTAGTTGTTGTTACCTGTCATGTTGTGTCGGATTGTAGTTGTTGTTACCTGTCATGTTGTGTCGGATTGTAGTTGTTGTTACCTGTCTTGTTGTGTATCTGGCTGCTGTTGTTGTTTCCTGACATGTTGTGTCTGGTTGCTGCTGTTGTTTCCTGTCAGTTTGTGTGTCTGGCTGCAGCCGTTGTTGTTTCCTGTCATGTTGTGTCTGGCTGCAGCTGTTTTTGTTTCCTGTCATGTTGTGTTTGGTTGCAGTTGTTGTTTCCTGTCATGTTGTGTCTGGTTGCAGCTGTTGTAGTTTCCTGTCATGTTGTATCTGCCTGCAGCTGTTGTTGTTGCCTGTCATGTTGTGTCTGGTTGCAGCTGTTGTAGTTTCCTGTCATGTTGTATCTGCCTGCAGCTGTTGTTGTTGCCTGTCATGTTGTGTCTGGTTGCAGCTGTTGTAGTTTCCTGTCATGTTGTATCTGCCTGCAGCTGTTGTTGTTGCCTGTCATGTTGTGTCTGGTTGCAGCTGTTGTAGTTTCCTGTCATGTTGTATCTGCCTGCAGCTGTTGTTGTTGCCTGTCATGTTGTGTCTGGTTGCAGCTGTTGTAGTTTCCTGTCATGTTGTATCTGCCTGCAGCTGTTGTTGTTGCCTGTCATGTTGTGTCTGGTTGCAGCTGTTGTAGTTTCCTGTCATGTTGTATCTGCCTGCAGCTGTTGTTGTTGCCTGTCATGTTGTGTCTGGTTGCAGCTGTTGTAGTTTCCTGTCATGTTGTATCTGCCTGCAGCTGTTGTTGTTGCCTGTCATGTTGTGTCTGGTTGCAGCTGTTGTAGTTTCCTGTCATGTTGTATCTGCCTGCAGCTGTTGTTGTTGCCTGTCATGTTGTGTCTGGTTGCAGCTGTTGTAGTTTCCTGTCATGTTGTATCTGCCTGCAGCTGTTGTTGTTGCCTGTCATGTTGTGTCTGGTTGCAGCTGTTGTAGTTTCCTGTCATGTTGTATCTGCCTGCAGCTGTTGTTGTTGCCTGTCATGTTGTGTCTGGTTGCAGCTGTTGTAGTTTCCTGTCATGTTGTATCTGCCTGCAGCTGTTGTTGTTGCCTGTCATGTTGTGTCTGGTTGCAGCTGTTGTAGTTTCCTGTCATGTTGTATCTGCCTGCAGCTGTTGTTGTTGCCTGTCATGTTGTGTCTGGTTGTAGCTGTTGTTGTTTCCTCTCATGTTGTGTCTGGCTGCAGCCGTTGTTGTTTCCTGTCAGTTTGTGTGTCTGGCTGCAGTTATTGTTTCCTGTCATGTTGTGTCTGGTTGCAGTTGTTGTTGTTTACTGTCATGTTGCGTGTCTTGCTGCAGCTGCATCTGCTGCTCTGATCGGCTGCAGAGCTGCCCAGGGATCCTGCAGCATCGATGGACTGAAATATTTCTCCACTGAAGAGTCTGAGGACTAGAAACACACAAACACACAACATTTATCTAACGAGTGAAGCTAAAACAAACAGATGATTTGATCAGAAAAACAGTTTGACTCCACCGACACCAACAGTTCAGACGGTTTCTACTGTTTTCATCAATTACAGGAAACATGAGAAGAGCCATGAAGAAAACTTCACAACCTGCTTTGTCTGTTATGATGAACTATACAGTAAAATGAATATTTTATAAAGGGCAGAAACTGTATCTCATTCAGTACAATCATCACTAATGACCACACTGTGTTTCAGTCTTTCTGGCTGTTCTGTCACTGATGATGCTCAGACTAGAAACAGCAGAAACACAGTATAACCCAAACCTCTGATTCACCTTCAGTCAGCCCCCATGGCCACCACCACGCCCCACCCTCAAGGACACGTGGTCCACCCAGAAACCAAGCACCCTGAAGACTGTGATCCCCCCCACTGAAACTCTTTACATCTAACAACGAATGAATCAAGAGTCACACTGTGTTATACTTCCACTACTACTATTACAGCTATTACTATTGTTACTACTGCTTCTACTATCAATACTGCTGCTACTTCAAGTTTTACTAATAATGATGATACAGGAGCATGACTTCTTGTTTGGCTCTCAGTTGATCCACATCAACAGAAACTGATCTGGATCCATGTTTCGACCGGATCAGGTCCTGACTTAATAATCTTTCTCCTCTCAGTATAATTGTAATAACAACAATAATAATAATAAAACGTAACTTTACTTGTATAACAACTTTCATAAAAGAAATGCTGCACAAAGTGCTTTACAACAAAGAAATGACCTGCACATAGTCCTTCACATGAAAAGACAAAATTAACATAACATGTCATCAATTCTCTTATATTGATCTAAAATGAAAAATATTAAAAAACATTCACATAAAATTATATAAGATAATGAATAAAATACTAAATCATTAAATAAGAAGACATTTAAAAGAAGTGCTGAGCACTGCATAAATGTGGTGCAAAGTAAAGCATTTCAGAGCTAGTTAAAGGCTAAAGTGAAGAAATAAGTTTTGAGCTTTCTTTTAAAAATACTTAGTGAGCTGCGTCTCTGATATCTACATCTATATATATCTATACCTGATATCTACAGAGTGTGTTGCACAGTTTTGGGCCGGAACTGACAAAGGCTGCATTCCCAGTTTTCCTAGAGCTGTTGCTAGTGTAAATAAACACCTGAAACTTTACCTGGAACTTCTGAGCTGAACCGGGACTGAAGGACTGCGGCCGCCGGAAACCGTCCCCTCTGCGCCGCATCTGTCCTCCGAAGCCCCGGGACCCGCTGCCGAACCTGGCCGCAGAACCGTCCCAGCATCCTCGGTTAGAGCCCGGAGAATAAACCGGGGAACCCGGAGAGTAAGCGGGGCAGCCCCGGGGAGAACCTTCGCGATAGCCGGACCCTCCATACGGGGAGCGAGCTCCGGGAAAACCCCAGCAGGAGACCGGGGAGGGAAACCTTCCCGCCGGACGCGGAGCTCCGGGACTCCGCTGGGGTCTGACCGGAGCACGGTACATCTGAGCGGCTAAAAAAATGAAGGGAGATCCGAAGAACCGAAAGAGATGTCGTGGTCTAGAATAGCGCCAGAAGACCACAACAAACCCAGAAGAAACCCGGAGTATTCTGTTTCTGGAAGATCACTACAACAACACACAGCGACTCAACCGGAACCGGAATTACACAGAGTTCTCCTCCCGGTCCTACAGCTGCAGCGCCACCCAGCGGCCACCAGGATCACAACCACACACACACACACACACACACACACACACACACACACACACACACACACACACACAGTGACTAATTAAAACTGATCAGTGTGTTCTTGTTCAGAACATCGAGCAGCGACCTGAATCTGCTGCACATGTGCAGACAGTGTGTCAGTTTGTGTTTCTGTCCTGTGTCTTTTCATTGTGTTTTCCTGGTGTGTATACATTGTGTAGTTGCTCCTGTTTGTGTCTCATTGCTGTCGAGTTGTTTGTGTTTTCAAGTTGTTTCCTGTAATTAAAGGAGCGTTCTGCTTAATTCTCCCCTTCCTGATGAAGATGAGTCATCTGTCACTCTGTTCGGTGGGTGTCTGAACAAACTGACTCGCTTCTGTAGCCAAAACAAAGTGAGAAAAAAGATCCTGACCATCTGAACAAAAATACTGATCTGAGATCCAAGAGGAGAGAGCTCTGCAGCTAGTCCCTGTGAATGTATAACTAGTCCCTCTGAATCTACAACTAGTCCCTGTACATCTGCAATTAGTACCCATAAATCTACAACTATCCCCTCTGAATATGATACTAGTCCCTGTAAATCTCCAACTTCTCCATTTGAATCTGCAATTAGTCCCTGTAAAGTCCCTCAATAACTAGTCCTCAGACCTTTGCAACTAGTCCTCAGATCTCAACAACTAGTCCTCAGACTTCTATAACTAGTCCACAGACCTCTACAACTAGTCTGCAGACTTCTACAACTAGTCTGTAGATGTCAATAACTAGTCCATAGACCTCAACAACTAGTCTGTAGATGTCAACAACTAGTATGTAGACCTTTACAACTAGTCCATAGACCTCAACAACTAGTCTGTAGATGTCAACAACTAGTATGTAGACCTTTACAACTAGTCCATAGACCTCAACAACTAGTCTGTAGATGTCAACAACTAGTATGTAGACCTTTACAACTAGTCCATAGACCTCAACAACTAGTCTGTAGATGTCAACAACTAGTCCTCAGACCTCTACAACTAGTCCACAGACCTCTACAACTAGTCCTCAGATGTCTATAACTAGTCCATACACCTCTACAACTAGTCCTCAGATGTTTATAACTAGTCCATACACATCTACAACTAGTCCTTAGACCTTGACAAGTAGTCCGTATACCTCTACAACTAGTCTTAAACTAGCTCAGTTAGCATCGAGTGGTTTTTGGACTGTGTGGGAGGAACTGTTCTCTCAGGTTTACTTTGTCTTTACGCAGAGCAGGTTCGGCAGCAGGTAGGAAACCAGTGTGGACCACTATGTGGAACAGGTAACCAGGAACTAACATAGAACAGGTAACAGAGGTAAAAAGTCAGGTGAGACTGTTATGGCAGGTAAATTTACTGTGGAGCTGATCAAGTGATGAAGGGCAGTTGCATGGACAGGTGAGGTCAGGTGACTTTGCTGATTTGGGGGTGAAGCTATTACCTCACCTGATCAGTATAAATACACCTGATGTCCAGAGTGTTCACCTGAACATGAACATGATGTTAAATGTATTTCATCATTTCACAGAATCACATTTGTTCTGTTGAGATTATTTCACCTGTTTATTCAAAGAGTCAGTTATAGGTTAATGTGATTTGTTTTTAAAGAAATGAACTCGATGTTGATGAGAAACCGGAGACAGAATTTCTTCTTCATCTTTAATGTTTTCTTCGATGAATCCTCAGGTGTCCTGGCAACTGAACTCTGGACTCATGAGCAGCACAGTATCAGTGAAGCTGTGGGGGTGAATGTCTTTGAATAGCAGCAGTGAGTCTGTGCTTGGTGATGGAGTAGCAGTTTGTGGTGGAGGTGGTGTCGAGGTTATCAGGCCTTCCCTCAGCTCACAGCACTGACGTGTCCTGCAGCCTGCCCACACAAAAAATAAATCCTTCACTTTGACTCACATGACAATCCTCCACCTCTCAGCACGTTCCTCTGGACGTCTTCCCTCCTCGCAGTCCGTCTGCACATTGACACCATCACAGCCTCCATTCAGCACTCGTTTCATCAAAAACACCTCACCTGTAAAAATAAACCAGTTCTCCAGAGTGATGTCACTGGAAACGATGGCTTCTCACTGGTGCTGTGGATGAAGGGCTATTACACAAAAACACAGGAAAACATACCCCAAAGGGGTAGAACACCTCTAAGGTTGTGCCAGTTTATTGATATTATAATGATTATTATTGTTATTATTTTTATTATTATATGTCTTACGCCATGGTTCAAATTGCTGTGAGCTGGAATAAGATAGAAACGTCAATTTTGGCCCAGTAACTGGAAATGATGTACATGTGTTCCCAAGAATTATGAGCCCAATTGGCCAGATGGTGGTGCTATAATTAAAAAAAATTTCACACCACGAGGCTGATTGACTTGAAATCTGACATACAAGTCCAGGTCAATGTGCTCAACAAAAAAGCCTCTTGGACCTTCAAAGTCCATCATATTGAATTTCTTGATAAAATACATTATGTGAAAAACTTAATATGAATATAACCTTTTGGATTTGGATTTTAGCAAGAACAAATTTGTTATACAGCCTCCACTTTAATGTTACACAGTTGCTGCCATGAATGAAGTGTAGTCAGTTCAGGCAGAGCACTGATGTGGTGCTTGTATTGGCTGGTTGGCTCCAACTGAATATGCTTTACAGCGACTGGCTCAGTCACAGCATCTTCATTCAGATGAACAGACATTATGACCTGATGTCTCAGTGAACACTGTTTATTCTGCTGATCCACCTCAGTTCTTCAAACTGCTTCACTGTCCACAGTGCTGTCAACACACTGCACAGAGTGAAGGTTTACTGGGAGCACAGGGTTAAACCAGTGCAGTGTAAAGACATAAGACCAGTGCCTCAGTCTCTCCTCCAGTTAAACCAGCTCACCGTGAAAACATTGCCTCAGTGTCTGAATGTTTCCTGCTGCTGTGACGGTGAATGAACTCTGACTGTTTGTTCAGTCTCTTCCTGTCTGACTGATTATCAGTCGGTCACTGTCTCTTTGTCCTCTGAACACACTGATGTGGTTTAACTCAGACCTACAATGAACTCTGGGTGTTTGTGGAGACAATCTGTGGTCAGGTTCATCTCCGTTCACACAGACAGACAGACAGACAGGGTTAGGGTTAGACCTTGACTGCTGGGGGAACTCCCATGATGCACTGAGCTCCTCCGTTCTCATTCATACACATTACTACATGTTACTAACTCGGCTTCTTCTCTCTGTAGCTCTGTTCTTTCTCTCCTCTCCTCTCCTGTCACTCTCTGCAGGTCTTTCTGCCTCTGGACCTGTACATCTGGATCTGTACCTGCAGAACACCTCCTGCCCCATGATCCTGCTCAATACCCACTGCTTCTATTATTATTATTAGTCTCATTTTTTATCATTATTAGTTTTCTGATTATTCGTATTACCTGTTATATCATAGCCTTTTTATTACATCCTAATGTGGAACCTGCTATGTTCTCTTTCCTCCTGTAGACCTCTGGCCTACCTGATGTACTACAGTACATCATGGAGACTGACAGCAGTGACAGGAGAGGACACTCAATGTGTTCGTGTAACAGGCTGTGAGGCTGAAGTCTGGTGGAAGTTTGAGGAAGTCGTGGTCTGTTCTGGTCTGGATTCAGGTCCTGATAAACCTCCAACTGACCAACGGGTTTACTTTTCATCCTGAGGAAGACCACATCTGAGAACAAAAGAGTATTTTTATGCTGTGTTGACATTTATTCTTCATATGATCATCTATTTGGCTCTATGAGCTCATCACTATCCACAGAGATCATCATTGCTTTATGTTTTAGTGACCCCAGTTGCTACTGGAGTTTGTCCCAGCATGCAGTGGGTGAGAGGGAGAGTACACCTAGCAGGTTAGCAGCCAATCACAGGTGAAAATCACACACAGACCTCAGGAGTTAAGGTTTCTAAACATGGACCATGTGACTGAAGTAATCAGCAGGTGTTTCTCTTCAGTCTGCAGCTCTGAGATCATTTTGACTGGATGTGCTCCAGCACTCATCTTTGTGTTTCTTAAATCGACTTGTCAATTCAGCAATGAGTTTGTAGGTCAGCGAACAAACAGCGTCACCATGCCAGCTGGCTCTGGCTGTCCCGCTTCTCCTCGGCCTGCAAAGGTTTAACTTTACTAACATCACTAGGCACCGGGGCCAGCTTCAGCAGCCAATCACAAGGCAGAGCAGGACAGAGGAGGAAGTGGAGGAGCCTCTCAGTCTACCAACCATTGCTCCAGTTTTTACCTGCAAACAAAGGGCAGAGTGTTGGGTTTCTACATCACTCCCACTGCCTTTGTTGATGTGTGAAAGCAGAGCAGAGCTCAGACTGGATCCTGAGCTCACCTGAACAGGAGGCAGACAGTGCCAGTCTGTGTCAACAACTTGCCCCCATTTTGGGGAGGCCACTGAGGCGCACAGAGGCCAGCCCAGGGGCCAGCCCAGGGGCCAGCCCAGGGGCCAGCCCAGGGGCCAGCCCAGGGGCCAGCCCAGAGCTCACAGGTCTGGTTGGGTCTGGGTTTTCCTGCAAAGGGCACATTCCAGTGAAGAGCTGGAGGCAGATGCATGATGCTACATTTCACAGACATTAACTTGAACTAACTAACTTTACTAGGCGGTACATCAACTTTCCAAAGACAGAAAAAGCAGAGCAGGTTCTGGAAGAGGGGGCAGTCACATCAGAGCAGTAGTCACCTGCCTAGATATAGCACTGAACGGTGCCGCCCACTCATTAGGACGCTGATGGATGATTGAATCTAGCCTGATGACAAATCAGTAATCTGCAACACAAGGATGAACCAGCACAGCCACGGTGTGGGTGGCTGATCATTAACATGACGGTGTTAATCACAGGTGTGGGACTGATCTCTCTCTGTGGTAATAATGAGGCCCAGCTGTTCAGGAGTCTGTTGGTGGACTGAAGGAAACACAGACACTAAAGGTTAAACTGAAAGTTAAGAATTTTTTTAATAATGAAGCAAGACAAATAAATTATATAAAGCTGGCATCAACATCTCATATTGTTTTACAATGAAGCAACAAAAGACTGTTTTTGTTTTACCAGTTAAATAATTTAACATCAGCCATGTTGATTTCATAAAGTTCATTTTACTCACAGCTTCATCAGTGGTCAACTTACTCACTGCTCGTTAACAACAGGTCATTTCATTCATTTGCTCAGTTGATATTTCAGTAAAATGGAATCTTCATCTACATGTTGACTGTCTTTGGCTTCTTCTCAATCTTCTGAGCTCCAACTTTGAAGCTGAGGAAAGACTTCCAGGAATGTTCTTAACTGTGCAAAATTAATCTAGTTTATTATTATTATTAATAATAATAATAATAATAATAATAATAATAATAATAATAATAATAATAATAATGATAACAACGTTTGGCTCAAGCAGCTGGTTGAACAAATTTCTTTCAAGTATCTCGACATGACAGATTTTGACACAAGTTGAATCCTCAGTAAACAGAACACATCAGAAATGATTCTATAACAGTAGAAAACAATAGAAAACAATAGACAACACATATAAATGTAGACAGGTAGAGTTTGACATCATAGGATATGTTGCATAGTATTTATTCTCAGGTTGTTCCAATGTGGAAAAGAGTCTCTCCGAATAAGAAATACGATGCTTCACTAAACATAAATACTGTCTTTAGTGGGAAAGTGCAGATCTGCTGCTGACGTGCAGGGGGCAGGTTTACAGTGTTTACGAGCAGCCACACTCCTCCACGATCATGTTCTGGATGTCTTTCTTGATGATTTTCTGCTCCTCGTTGTAGTAAAGCATGGACATGGCGCGCAGCCTTGTCGGCACGCAGCACGACTTGATGTTTTGAAACGGGCCGTAGCCCCTCATGCGATAATGATTGATGACCGTTGAGTGGAAGGAGAGGGAGGAGCCGCTGAGGCTCGCCATGTGGTTTGGACAGTCGCCCTCACAGTAGTTGGCATGGTAACCTGATGGAGCGATAATCCAGTCGTTCCAGCCGATGTCTTTAAAGTTGACGTAAAACTGTCGTTTGCAGCAGATGTGTATTTTCCCGTCGCACTCCAGACCTCTTTTGACTCGTTGCTGTGACGCCTCCTTTTGAGCTTGCAGCACGACCATGATGAACGGCCGATGAGAATGATCTCGACCCGCAGCTTGCTCGCCTTTGGCAGGCATCAGAACTGGCGAAGCTCCAGCCTCAGCACACAGTGGACAGGAGACCCGCAGGTTGAGTGACCTGCCGCCACTGTCCAGCAGGGTCTGAACGCTGCGAGGAATGGCGAGGGTGTGCCAGCCGCTGCGACGAGTGTCCACCATCTTCTCTGAAACACGCTCCTCCTCATCATTGTCATGATGAAGCTGCAGCAGCCGCAGAGTCACTTTGCCCTTTCCTTGGTTTCCCTTTGACATCTTCAGAAAGATCCAGATGTTCGCCTGTTCCACGACAGAGGAGCCGCTGCCCTCCTTTGAAATGTCAAAGGTCACTGTGTTCTGAGAGTCACCTGCAGAAGAGGGCACAGTTAGCATGTTAGCGGGAATTATCCCTATGTGTTCAAACCCATAACACATTTACATTAATGTTGTGAAAGACAAAGCAATGGTCTACTGGACTGTACTGGACTGCAGCAGTCTCTGCTAGTCTCATTGAGATAGTTTCACTTTGACCTCTGACCTCAGTCTGATGGTTTAGACCTTTAAACATCTTGATATATCTGCTGTTGGACAACAGAAAGCTCACAGTAAAAAGTTTTTACTAAATTTATTTACTTTCAAAACTGATAAAGACTGTGTATGCTGATGGTCTCTGTTTGATCCAGCTGGTCTCTGATCCTTCTGGTCTCGGTTTGATCCTTCTGGTCTTGGTTTGATCCTGCTGGACTATCCCCCCTCTGTTTTTGTCTTCCTGTCATTTGAATGAATGAACAAACTGAATGTGGTGAACAATAAAAGCCTGAATGCAGCCGCTGCCTCTAAATTTACTCAATATGAGCAGAGACACTAAAAAAAGAAAAGGCCTGATTTCAGGGAATGTCGTTAACAAGGCCGCTAGTATATACCCACCAACCCCCAAACTAACCCCCACCATACATCCCCCCACCCTCCCAAAAACATGGTCCTGTTCTGTGTTTCCATCTTTGTCTCCTGCTGCAGAATAATTAGAGGCCCAGATTTGTCTGAATGAGATTATTCACGGCCTGAGACCACTCGGTATGCACCCCCCCACCCCCTTGTTACTGTCCTCTAATTTGGGTGAGCCTTTGAGGGACCTTTTTGTAAAGGTCTTTCTGAAGATACGACTATTTATAGCCCAAAGCCTTTATGTACATTTATGTAAGCAAACAAGTGACAGGATGATGTGATTGGTCATGAGTTGGTTCACATTGATTCATGATGCAGACCTTACACTGGGGCACATGATCAATAACTTCACCTGTGTGTGTGTGTGTGTGTGTGTGTGTGTGTGTGTGTGTGTGTGTGTGTGTGTGTGTGTGAAGGTCTTCATCTACTCTCCTCACTCTGCTGAGTCACAAACACACAGGTAAAGTTGACCAATCAACATGCAGCGTGACACCTGTTGTTACATTGAGGAGCTGCTGCTCAGGTGTGTTCTGGTTCACAAATACGCTCCTAGCTGTAGTGTGACCAGATGTGTATAAAGAAAGGATGAATGAATTAATGAATGAAGCTTAACTCTTCTTCCAAAAACTGAACAACAAACTGATTTTTACTTTTTTACTGTGTGGACAAAAAATACGAGTAAAACAGATAGGAAGGTCACGCTCAGACTAAGGGAATCAATACAGTGTGTGTGTGTGTGTATGTTTGTCTGTGTGTCTGTGTGTGTATGTCTGCAGACTGTGGAAATCTGTACACAGACTTTGAACTTTTTTAATTTTTGTGAATGAGCTGATAACTGCAGCTCATGATCAGTAAACCTCACTAGAGTCTGACACATGAGATACACCTGAGACAGGACATACACTTGTGTGAATCTTTGTAAATAAATGACAATCAGATTCATTAACTTGACTTTGGTTAAAAAGCAAAATGTGGTCATCAGCCAGTAGAGTCAGTAACTAGATCCACAGTAGAACCAGTAGAACCAGTAGAGTCAGTAACTAAGTCCACAGTAGAACCAGTAGAACCAATAGAACCGGTAGAGTCAGTAGAGTCAGTAGATAAACAGCTGAGATACAGCTGCTGGTCATGCATGTGAGCATCATTGACAGGTACCTATTATACCTTTCTTCAGGTACGTTTACGTATCTCTGAACAGGATGGCTCCAGCTTCAGACCTGTGTAACTGTACATGTGTGACTGTACCTGTGTGACTGTACATGTGTGACTGCACCTGTGTAACTGCACCTGTGTGACTGTACATGTGTGACTGTACATGTGTGACTGTACCTGTGTGACTGTACCTGTGTGACTGTACCTGTGTGACTGTACATGTGTGACTGTACATGTGTGACTGCACCTGTGTAACTGCACCTGTGTGACTGTACATGTGTGACTGTACATGTGTGACTGTACATGTGTAACTGTACCTGTGTGACTGTACATGTGTGACTGTACATGTGTGACTGTACATGTGTAACTGCACCTGTGTGACTGTACATGTGTGACTGCACCTGTGTAACTGCACCTGTGTGACTGTACATGTGTGACTGTACATGTGTGACTGTACCTGTGTGACTGTACATGTGTGACTGTACCTGTGTGACTGTACATGTGTGACTGTACATGTGTAACTGCACCTGTGTGACTGTACATGTGTGACTGTACATGTGTAACTGCACCAGTGTGACTGTACATGTGTGACTGTACCTGTGTGACTGTACCTGTGTAACTGCACATGTGTGACTGTACATGTGTGACTGCACCTGTGTAACTGCACCTGTGTGACTGTACATGTGTGACTGTACATGTGTGACTGTACCTGTGTGACTGTACATGTGTAACTGTACCTGTGTGACTGTACATGTGTGACTGTACATGTGTAACTGCACCTGTGTAACTGTACATGTGTAACTGCACCTGTGTGACTGTACCTGTGTGACTGTACATGTGTAACTGCACCAGTGTGACTGTACATGTGTGACTGTACATGTGTAACTGCACCAGTGTGACTGCATATGTGTGACTGTACATGTGTAACTGCACCTGTGTGACTGTACATGTGTGACTGTACCTGTGTGACTGTACATGTGTAACTGTACCTGTGTGACTGTACATGTGTGACTGTACATGTGTGACTGTACATGTGTGACTGTACATGTGTAACTGCACCTGTGTGACTGTACATGTGTAACTGCACCTGTGTGACTGTACCTGTGTGACTGTACATGTGTAACTGCACCTGTGTGACTGTACATGTACGTGACTAGTGGAAATGAAAAATAACCATGAAATTTCTGATCAGCTGTCAGACTCACCTGGCTCTGCAAAGGTGATGATTTCAGATGGTGGTTCGGGGGATGTTGGGGCCCTGGAGCTGCGGCCCTCCTCCTGGATCTCCACGCTGCCGTCTTCGGTCACGTGGCCGACATGCAGCTTCTTGATGGCATTGAGGAGCGCTGCTCGAGGGACTGGCTGTGTCAGGTTGGGCCGGGCACTCAGGTGCAGCATGTTGAGAATGTGACGCTTCACTGCCTCCACCATGTCGCTCTGTCCTCCTGGTAAAGTCGAGTTCCTCCTCATCTGAGACAGAGAACAGGACGGACAGACAGAGGATGACGCCCCCTCCTGGAGCTGAGGCACCTTGTCGACCTCAGGAGCTGGAGAGACCACACTAGAGGCGTTGATGAGAAGGATGACCGCCATGAAGAAGAAGACAGCTAACGGAGAGGACATGATGGACTCTGAATGACGGTAGAGTCAAAGCACTCACAGGAGGACCTGACGGAGAAACAGGCACCAGGGCTCTTGATCCTTCAGATCAAATCCTCACAGACTCAGTAGAGTCCAACAGTAGAGTCAGTAGAGTCTCTGAGGACATACAATAGAAACACAGTTCAGCAGCCAAATCTGAAATTGGAAATCCTCAGTCTGTCAGCAGAGCTCACAAAGCAGGTTGGGACTTTGGTCCTCCCTCAGTCCTTGATCTGGTCCTGATATTTTCTGAGTGCTGTAGGTCTGAGGCTCTGGTCCTGTAGATTTCTGTCTGGTCTTGATGGTTCAGATTCTGATTAATTGACTGCTCCAGGTCTGAGGCTGTGGTTCTCTGGACCTGTAGTTCTCAGTCTGGTCCTGGTCCCCTCTGGTCCTGATGGTCCGGTGCTGTGACTGACTGTGCAGGGTCACTCTACTCTCCCTCTCTGCTCAGTTACTGTAATTATACCTCTCTGCCTGTTTAATCCCTCCCTCCATCCACAGAGGTATTTCCCTGTGAGTCTCACACACACACACACACACACACACACACACACACACACACACACACACACACACACACACACACACACACACAGAGTGAGTAAAGTCTCTCAGAATATCTCAGGACTGTTTGTGGTGTTTCCTCCTGAACGAACGTCACGACAGAAGAGGAGGAGGAAGGAGAGAAGAGGAGGAAGAGTGTCCCTGATTCATTCATACCACACACACACACACACATACGCACACACACACACACACACACACACACACACACACACACACACACACACACACACACTGATGACTCAGTGCAGCGTCATTATCACCTCACGTGGAGGAAAAACTCCGTTGGTGTGAAATTAATTTTTAGACTGAAAAAAGAGTTTGTTGTTATATTCAGAGCAGATGGAGCGTGCTCAGAACAGACACACACACACACACACACACACACACACACACACACTGTGACATCAGCATGCCCTCTGGTGGTCAGAGGCAGGTCTTACAGTCTGCTCACCTGAGACAGATTTACCAGTAAGAACTGGTTCATCTCTGAGTGTTTTATTAGGACACACAGGATGAATTTAAAATGGATTTTACTGCAAGAACTACAGGAAATGTTTTCATGTGTTACACTCCAGTTTATAGCACACACAAGGGACTGATTCAAAGATATTCCAAATAAAGATATAGTTCCTGATAGGGATGCTCTGAATTTTTTGCTGTCAATGCCAAGACTGATCATCTTTGTCATACATTGCAGATGTCGTATGTTATATCAGTGTCACACACTGTAAAAGTTCCACACGGCCGACATATTGTTTTGTTTTGGTGGCCTGTCGGTGGGAGGTGGGGCTACACTACACAGCACACAGTGCTTCTCTCAGCCGCAGACACCAGAGTCTTAACCACAGGTGATCGGTTTTAAGGTGATCAGTGACTAGAAGCGTTAATGCATATATCTACCCATCATGTATTTTTAATGAAAATCAGTCAATTATGAATGGTGGCCCATTCAAGCATCCCTAGTTTCTAACAAATGGAAAAATCCTACTGATGAAGTTAGTGCTGAAGAAAGAGTGTTGGACAAACGTCACAGTCTGGTGTTTTCTGCCTCCCCTTGTCTGTCTGTGTGTGGCTGTGGCAAATCCTCTCCCCCTCTCTCATGTACCTGTTTACCAGCCTGTTAGGCAGCACACCTGGAAGCTCATTGAGCCCATCAATATTGTATGGGCCTTTCAAAAGATTCAACTGGCTGATGAACTTGGCAGCACCAACCTGACCGATCAGTAATCAGTACGAGGCAGATGGTGCAGTCACACTGCTGACCTGGACAATGATGGACAGTTCCTTCCATCAGCATATAAAGGATTTCACTATCTTTAAATCTACCCTCCTCTGGACTGACACAATTAAAGGATTGTTTCATTGGCTTTGCTTCTCCTAGGTTGAAGCATTCTGTATCATTTGTGTAAAAGATAGAACATCTGACTTCAGCCAAAAGAGATTTTTGTGACCCCATGCAACAAGAATCATCATGAAAGATTCACAATACAAAACCACAAAATTATGAGAGAACAACAATTTGATACATAGGATCTCCAACAAAACCCTGATTAGGATACTGTTTTCTTGTTTTAATCAAGGCCATCGCTATCAAATGGTACCAGGACAAAGGCCATGTGTACTGTCTGGTCAGCCTAGTGACGTCTCTGTCCAAAATCAGCATAACAGCATCAACAGGCAAAGCAGAGCACACATCATTTTGAACATCATCCTCTAACAACTCTGACTGAAGCAAGAGATTAAAACAGACATTTCCCTACACTTACACAGGTAAAAATATAACATGATACTTGCACCTTCCTATAACTACCAGCAAGAGACATGTTGTTTTGTCTTAGAAGCCAAGTAGGAACTTAAAGTAGGCTTTGACTAGACAGATGGCAATTCACTACTTGGCAGTAATAACTAAACTAAATTTAGATAAAATAAATAAAAAATAATGGTGCAGCTAAGCTCCATTTGTTCTGCAACTTGAGTACAGCACAGTCATTTTTCCACATGTGGCAGAAGTTAAAGACTTTTTCAGTCTCATGGACATCCATCATGATTTCCAATGGAAGGCCCCAGCTGGGACATTTTCTTTACCTCCAGTAAAGCCACAATCATCTGCCAGTGCAGCTGTCTTCACTAGGGTTGGCGTCGACGTCATCGATTACGTCGACGCAAAAAATACGTCGACGCAAAAACTGTGCGTCGATGCGTCGTTTGAAAACAAACAATAGCGGCGGCAAGTAGCGGCAGTGTCGATACCAGCGAGTCAGTTGACTCTGATCAATGTAGAATAGTGATGGGTCGGTCGCGAACGAGAGCCGGATTAGAGCCGGCTCTTTGAAGTGAACGACGGGAGCCGGCTCGCGATCGAGAGCGATTTTTTTTTTTTTTTAATTGTCTTTTAAAGCCGCAGTGGTCAACATGTGTGGCTGTGGCAGCGTCTGTGTGACTACACTGAGCAGGAGGGGGGAGGGGAGGGGTTACAGACACTCGCATTTTGTGTTTTGTTTTTCACTGTACATGGTTGCACATTTTCATTTATATTTTGTTGAGTGATGTTTAGTTGATTTTGTGTTTTTTCACAAATTAAAATGGGTCTTTTTTATTTAAAATTTATTCATGTATATTTTAAGTTATGTTACGTTTATTAATAAAGCCATATACATACTATACATATGTTATATTTTATGTTTTTTTACATTAGTTATTCATTTTACACATAATTTGGTAATAAATTAATTTAAGTAACAAAAAATCTGAGGAGCCACTTGGGAGCCGAAAGAGCCGGTTCTTTTTAGTGAGCCGAGCCCAAAGAGCCGGCTCTCCACAAAGAGCCGGTATTCCCATCATTAATGTAGAACACAAAGTCGTAGTTCAAAGATATGGGACTATTTTTCCGTAAAAGGAGGCCATTCTGTCGTTTGTCGGCTGTGTAAAATGGAGATGGCTTATCATAAAAGCACGACGGCGATGCACCAGCACATCAAGACACACACGTAGACACACACTACACTACACACAGTATTCTTGAGTGAAAAGGCAGAGTGTATGTTCCTGTGAATGAACAGCTCTTTATATTTTGTTAGTTAAAAAAGAACACTGCTGCTGTTTATATTTTATTGATTTTATGATGATAACATTTTCTTGATTCTTGCACAACAAGAAAGTATTTTATTTCATTTTATTTTTTGTTAAACGCTACCTCTGACGTCAGATTGCACTATTGTTTTCATTACTTGAATTTTATTTTGGAATATGGTAATTTTTGGTGAAAACAATAGAAATATGTTGGAATGAAGAAATTTGTGTTTTTTCATTGAGATACATAAATTAGCATATGTAAATTGCTATATAAGTCAAATAATGGGAAAATAATCGATAATCGAATCGAATCGATTCGAATTCGAATTGAAAAAATGAATCGTTAGATTAATCGATGCATCGAAAAAATAATCGCTAGTTTAATCGATTACAAAAATAATCGTTTTCCCCAGCCCTAGTCTTCACCCTATGTTCACATATACACTACAATTCATTCTGGGACTGAGTTTCAAGACAGGGAGTAATTCATAGGCTTCTGTATGACAGACTCAATTTACTACTGTCACCAAGGAAAAATTCTTTCAGTTGCTCAAAATTTAAAGCCAAATAAGGGAGCAACTCTTGAGACAAACACGGCCCATCCAGGTTAGCAGGTGACATTTATGGGGATGTCAAAAGTTACATTTCATACAAATTTACTTTCATAATAGTTTTAACATTTTCTTTGAACCTTTTATCACTAACACACGTTTCATATTGATGATCAGAAATCACAACTCTTTATTAGTTTAGCATCAGAAACGACTGTGATTGAGCTTTAATAAAGTAGTCTACCCTTGCCACCACTAACCACCAATGACCAACGCACAAACAACCAGCTTAGTAAAGTATCAGTGTGCAAACAAACCATAAGTGTAACCTTGTAAACTGAGCATCCCCTGTAACCGCCTAGCCTAATCTACCTAATTCAACCCTGGTTTTAGGTGGCAGGTACTTATATGCCAGAAACCGCTAGTGTGGCAAAGTGACCAGCAAGTTGGCAAACCCTGCCAGGACCAGGGCCTTGCCTGCAACCAACCACTGCAAAAACTTTCATCCCAAACAATATTCATGATCAAACCAATCCCAAGGGAGGAGTGAGCTCAGCAGGTAAGTGTCCTGAGTCAAGAACCACAAGTCTCAAATCAAATCCACCATGTCATGATTCAAGTTCTGAGTCAAGATCAAAACCTAACCTTTGTTTGAGTTCTAAATATTTTAAATTTTAAGCAGTATAACAGTTATAGTGAATATACTTTTAATATCAATATTACAGGCACAGGTACACATCATATTACTTTTAAGTAATAGTTAGAGGAAGTGAAAATCAAAATAAAGTGTTGTGTTGTGCAGTAAAGTGTTTTTACTGTGTGGTAAAGTGGAAAAGTTTACATTTGTGAGCAGCTTCTTTTGACTGTGGTGCAGATGTGTTTTTGATTACAGATGTTGATCATCAATAACCGCTAGTGTGTTATTATGGTTGAGTCACAGTTTGTTCCCAGTGTTGGCAGAAAGAGACTGTTTTCAGGGAATCTGTATTTACTTGCACTTATAACTATATAACTTTTCTAGTCTTACTGACCACTCAAAGCGCTTTACAATACTTGCCACATTCACCCATTCACTCACATTCATACGCACAGTCATACACTGATGGAACAGCCATCAGGGGCAATGTGGGGTTCAGTATCTTGCCCAAGGATACTGACATGGGGCCTGGAGGAGCCAGGGATTGAACCACTGACCTTCTAATTAGTGGACGACCCGCTCTGCTTCCTGACTCACAGCCGCCCCATTTAAATCTGAGAAGTTCTTATTTAAACTGGAGAAAAATGTAAGAAATTAAAAGAAAAAAATATGACCTTTTTAATGTCCTGTCCACACACACAGATGTAGTTTCTAAAATCTTTTGTCCACGTGCAAACTCAGTTTTAGGTAATTGAAAATGTTTCAGTGTTGTTTAGGGAAAACTGAGTCTTTGGTACATATTGTAACGTCATCTTTATTTGTCTCCTGGAACTGGTAGCACCTTTTTTCCACCTTCAGATTGGCCAAACTAACTTTATGGTCAGGGTTATATTGCTACCTGTTGGTTTGGCTCTCAGCAGCACGTGTTATGTGTCTTTTTATGTGGCTGGGGAATTGTTTTTAAGAGTGGAGGAGGAAAAATTTGAACAAATGTAGGTGTGGACTAGGCCTAAATGTAATAATGTCCTGGTGTGGGGTGCTCACACATTTCTCTCCTGCCTGTGCAGTCTGATTGACTTCTGAGGGGTTGACATCACTGCACACTCAAAAATAACATACGTTTTAATATTTGGGCTTTAGGAGGACATCAATGTCCAGTCCAGTCTGAAATTGCTTTTTGATTTTAGTGTTCTTTGAACAAACTTCCTGTTTTTTTTTAGATAAAATCAGCACCAAAACTAAAACATATACTTTAATTTATGAGGAAAATATCCCTCTAAATGGATTTCTGCTGTTTGATGAAGCTCTCATTAATCACTTCCTGTTGTTTATTCGACATTTGAGTGAAAAAGTGAACCCAAAAATAAATCGTGTATAATCTGCTCCAGCCTCCAGAGACAGAGATTACCTGCTGAGACACTAAAAATATCCAAAGCCAGACAAGATGTGACTTTATCTGGACAGTTACAGAAACTCTGACTCTACTTTTGTGACGTTTACACATCTACATTTATTCACCTACTGAAATGAACCTAAAATACCGCATTTAATTAAAACCAAAGAAAACAGGAGGTGGACTGAAACAGCAGACAGAAAGCTGACTGTTGCTTTAAGACCCGCCCCCTTCACACACACACACACACACACACACACACACACACACACACACACACACACACACACCCCTCCCCCCTGTCAACCGCTCTCCCTCTCTCTCTCTCTCTCGCTGTTAATCCGCCTCTCGCTCTCTCTCTGCAGTCATCATGGCGGAAATCAAAACGGGAATCTTCGCTAAAAACGTACAGAAACGGCTGAACAGGGCGCAGGAGAAGGTAGGAGCTGAAGAGGAGGAGGGTGAGGGATGAAGGCGGCGGGTGGAGGACGGATGGAGAAGGACAGGGATAGGTAGATGTGGAGCTGGTTGGAGGCTGCAGGCCTGTGCAGCGTTTCTCTCTGATGTGAAGTTATTTTCTGATATTTGTTAATGTAGTTTTGATGATCACATATTGATCCGTACTGAGGTGGTGGCGTCATGATGTGTCCGATAATATCAGCTCATAAAAAGAGTAAAATGATTGAAAACGGACGGAGAGCGCTTGATTGGCTGAAACTGATGGCGGATTAACACTGATCGGAACACCTCGTGATGACGTCACATGTGAAGTGAAAAATGTCACGCATGAGTCTTATGTTTTATATAAATGACAGTGAGGTGTTTTCCTGTTCCAAGGTCGGTGGTAGTGGTGGCAGAGGGGTGGGGGGTGGAGTGTCTGCGGCGTGGTGACGTCATTTCTACGTCGATCAGCTACCTGCACATTATTTGTAGGATATGACTGCTGGGCTGCTAGTACCAAATTTAATGCTGATATATGCCAATCATAACCACAAAATTCAGACAGTATGCACTATCTATCTATCTATCTATCTATCTATCTATCTATCTATCTATCTATCTATCTATCTATCTATCTATCTATTTATCTATCTATCTATACTGTGGTTCTCTATATATATACCATCTATACATACAAGTGTAGCTACACACACACACACACACACACACACACACACACACACACACATATATACATATATTTATATATATAATATATATATAGTTATACTATATATACAATATATACTATATAGTAGTTAGTTAATATATATATATATATATATATATATGTGTGTATATATGTATGTATAAATATATTTATTTGTCACTGTATGTCCATGTATTCACTAGTTAATATCAGCGAGTTGTGTTAGTTAGCTCAAATTAGCCTCATTTAAAAAAAATTATAACTCATTACATAAACAGTCTAAGAACTGTCCATGGTGCTGAAATGATACTTGGTTCTGACAGTGAGGGTTCTGATGGTGAGAACTGTCCGTGGTGCTGAAACATCATCTCATTCTGACAGTGAGGGTTCTGATGGTGAGAGCTGTCCGTGGTGCTGAAACGGGATCTGATTCTGACAGTGGGGGCTCAGGACAGTGAAAACTGGTGCTGCTGATTCTGAAACCTTACCGGGTTCTTACAGTGAGAACTGTCTATGGTGCTGAAACATTACACCTGTTCATGTGCTTCTACTAAATGAACCTATCATCTCCAGATGAGACTTTGTTACTCTGAGTTTGTGATGGCATCTGTTTTTGAGCAGACCATCTGTGAACATCACACAGAGAGAAGTTTTTGTTTCTGACTGTTAGGTCTGTCACATTGTGTATTAATAAAATCTGTTCCCTCAGCTGGAACATAAATAGTTATGTGCTGCATTCAGGGACACATTCAGCATGTTGATCTGAGGTATCACTGGGTTTCATCAAGGAATACAACCCAGTTGGCCCGTTTGATAGTAAACTTATGGTTGAGTCACAGCTCAGAGTTTTAAATGTTATTAATGTCTCTCATTGCGTATTTTTTCTCAGGTGCTGCAGAAGCTGGGGAAAGCAGATGAGACCAAAGATGAGCAGTTTGAACAAGTAGTCATTAACTTCAGGAGACAGGAGGTAAGAGATGCACCTGACTCACCTGAGCACTAAAGTCATTACAGTTCATTCTTAGAGGAACATGAATGTCTGAACCACATTTCATCAAAATCATTCAATAGTTGTTGAGATGTTTCAGTCTTGACCAAAGTGGTGACTTACTGATGGACATTAATGTCCAGAGTCCATGTTTGTGTACCTGAAAATAAGAATCAACAAGTTAGACATCCTCAACAGGGAGCAGTGGTTCTGTTATTATTAGAAATATTACAGGAGGAATGTCAGCGAGAATATTCAGTTCTTCTCCATCAGTGATGTTTCCTTTCAGTTAATCTCTGTCTCACATGAACTCAACTGTAACAAGCTTCACCTGCAGAGAAAAACACCAGGAAAACAGGAAACTATCATGTTTCACCAAAGTAAAAGAACTGATGACAACTGTCTGTGTGTGTTATTAACCAGTGCTCTCTCTCTCTTTCTCTCTCTCCCTCTGTTGTGTTAGTCTGAAGGCTCTCGGCTGCAGAGGGAGATGAAGGCCTACATGTCTGCTATTAAAGGTGAGGTGGTCTTTCTTGTTCAGTGTCATATAAAAACATCATAAAACATAAATATTCATATTAAACACATCATAAACACTGTGTAACTGTGCTCTGTTGTAAAAATACGAGGATGTTTTGGAAAATAAAGCCATGAATAGTTTTTTATTCATCAGTGAACTTCATCCAAGGTGGAGTAACCCCCTTTAACTTTAAACCATCACCAGTTCTCCTCGTACACCTCCTCACAGTTCTTCAGGCTCTGGTCAAGTTGGTTGTTCCAGCATCTTGGAGAACCTGCCTCATCTGTTGCAGGACTCCTGGTCCTTCTGGTCTCTGCAGACGGTTCTTTATGATTCCGTGTGTTTGGACTTGTTATCTTGACACAGAATGAATCTGGACCAATTAGACGCCTCCTGATGATGATGATGAAGAGTGTGAACATCCAAAGTTTCTCAAACTTTGACACAGTCCTGTGTATTGAGCATCCTTTATATATGATACTGTATATACTAAACACATATATCATACACCACATAGTAAAGTACATTTAGGACATGTTAATGTCTGCCTCCCTTCCTGACATCATCTATCAGCTGACTGTTTTTGGTCATGCAGGGATGCAGCAGGCCTCCATCAACCTGACCCAGTCTCTGCATGAAGTCTACGAACCAGACTGGCACGGAAAAGACGACGTCATGATCATTGGAAAGGTTAGATGCCCTGATTTGCTGTCGATTATTATTGGCCGATTTTCATAAAAAATATGTGATCAGTAGATTGGCATTAATGTTTCTGGTCACCGGTCACCTTAAAATTGACCACCTGTGGGTAATACTCTGGTGTCTGCAGCTGAAAGAAGCACTGTGTGCTGCGGGACACCATGTCTCCAGGTGTGGACACCAGGTCTCCAGGTGTGAGACACAGGTGTCCAGGTAATTATTGGAGCCACTGCCCAGTGGGCTTATCACTTGCAGGGGTGTGGTCAGGTACAGTAAAGGTGAGCAGGGACCTTAGAATGCTGACCCCTGGTGTCTTAAGTAGGACAGAATAATTTTAGCATTGATGTGTTGCTGGGATGTCATGAGTTGTTTTCTGCAGGACTGTGATGCATTGTGGGAAGACTTCCATAACAAACTGGTGGACTCGACGCTGCTGAACCTGGACGCTTACCTGCAACAGTTCCCGGACCTTAAGGTAACAAACACTTTGTGTTTTTACAAAACAAACTTGAAACTTTGAAGCACAGTGTGAAAAGTGGAACTGCGACATTTCAGACTCGTGTGGCCAAGAGGAGTCGGAAACTCATTGACTACGACAGCGCTCGTCACAATGTTGAAAGTCTGCAGGCGTCTGGGATGAAGAATGACCGCAAGATTATGAAGGTGAGTCCACTGGTCTGTGATCATGATGGAAGCTTCAGAAGTCAAAGGTAGCATGTAGCACCTGTTCAGGTGACACATAGCAATACAGCCATATATGTTACCTGCCCAGGTGTAGTATAAAGTTAAAGGTGTTTTCTGTCTGCAGGCAGAAGATGAACTGAAAAAGGCTCAGAGAGTGTTTGATGAGCTCAACGTGGGTCTCCAGGATGAACTACCGACTCTCTGGGACAGGTGAGTCTAAGCTGTCTCCTCCTCTGAGCAGTAGCACAATGATTGGCCCACTGCATATACACACCTGCAGAGGCTTCAGGTACTGACTAACTTTTCAAAGACAAACCTTCCAACTCTGCTTAAGTCTGGACTACTGACACTAACTCTGTGGTAAAGTGTGTGAAGGCCCACAGGGAAAGAGTTTATTAAACAACATTTTAATAATCTGGAGACAAATAATGACTCCAGCGCAAATATTTTTCTTTGTGCTCTGCAGCCGGGTCGGCTTCTATATCAGCACCTACAAGAGTGTGACGAGTCTGGAGGCAAAGTTTCACAGAGAGATCTCCCTGGTGAGGAAACCAATGAAAAGTTTTTAAAGATGCTTTCAATGTTCCATAATGCAGAGGAACAGTCAGACAGGCAGATGGTGTTCAGTCCGAAATACCGCAGACATCAGCTCTGTGACCAACAAGGTGAGGGCACTTTGTGACGTCACATCTTACCTGGGCAGAGGTGTTTCTGTGGATGGTAAAGTGTTAACACTCGCATTTTATACAAGGTGAACTGAGTGATGTTGTTGGATAGTTTTTTTTAGAGAAGGATAAAACTAATTTCTGTTTGCTGAAAAATAACCTTGAATTGAATCTACCTGTCCAGGTGTGCAGACAGTTGTATGAAGTGATGACCAAACTGGCTGAGCAGCACTCTGACAAAATGTTTACCATCCAAGGAGCTCCGAGGTTAGTATGAGTTTTCACCCTTGGAATAACTTTACTTCAAATCTAGAGAGTTTTGATTTCATTATAACATCTGACACTGGGCAGCCAATCAGTAGACTTCTGGTTTCTGTTCCTCCCTCAGTGATTCAGGACCACTACGACTTGCGAGAACCCCATCACCACCAGAAGATGAGAGTCCACCAGAGAGTCCAGACGCCAGCTCCAATCATATGCTCCGTCCTGTCTCACCTGGACCACCACGGCCCAAATCCCCCACACAGGTAGATCTAATTTTAACATAATCCAAATTCACATCACAGGTAGATCTAACACTAATTTTATCCAGATCCACATCACAGGTAGATCCTAACATGTAGATTTAGGGCTCTATTTTGATGACGCAAAGCGCATGGTCTGAAACGTGTGTTAGCAAGCACAAATGCATTCAGGGTTTCCATTTCTTTTTTGCTATTTAAAAAACAGTATAAAAGCAGTCCCTGCTCCAGGCTCATGCTCCAAAAGGGTTGAACTTAATCTCTTAATTATTCATGGGAGTGTTTTGGGTGTAACATCCAATAAACCAATCACAGTGCATCTCCCATTCCCCTTAAAAACCAGGCGTGCTGCATCTTGATGGATTGCTAATATAGTGGTTCAGTGTTTCACATAGAGTTAGATTCCATTTGTGGTCTGTTGATCACATATTGTGACTGACCAGTGAGCAGCTCCGAGTGAATCAGTGCTCTGCTCACAGCTCTACAGTGAAGTCACGGCACAAATCACAACATTAGAAATATTTTATATGATGACAAGTGTGACTAAATCTTCAGTTCCTTATGAAACTATGGTGATAAAATTTAGGTGATGAATGAGGCCCACTGTGGAGTATTTACCAGGTAGTAAGAAAGAAGTTTCACTGCAGAGTCGTGTGCAAGACACATCCGTGACACATGACGACCTTCTGAGGCTGTGTTGTAATGTTCCACCTGACTTATCTGAACATCATCTTTAGCTCGCTCTGCTTGTGTGTAACAGACAGAATGTATGACTTTTGTGCGCCCGTGTTTGTTGGTACATGTTACTCTCTTGACAATGCTCCGTGAAATAACAGTGAAACACTGCGACACTGACTTCAGACCAGTTTTCTGTTGGTCGCTCACTTTCCACTGTCTCAAGATAACAATGCGTCAACAATGTTCCTGACCGCGCCCCATTTTAAGACCAACCATGGGCGCACAGATGAGTGCATGTATTTGCTATTTAAACAACGTGGATGCTGGATGAAAAAATGAGAACTGCGTTGGTCTGTAACTGAAACTTTGTGCTGCTTTGCACCAGGTGTAAGATAGAGCCCTAAATCTTACCTTGATCCAAATCCACATCACAGCTAAGTGTTAGATATTATTGATCTGGCCAAAATGACATATGGGTTAGCATGGGTTAATATGTAGTTTCTGTAAATATATAATAGTGATTGATAGATGATATAATAGTGATTGATAGATGATATAATAGTGATAGATAACAGTAGATTTATCAGCAGACACTGTTTAGTCTATGTATATAAATATATTCAGTCTAGAGTTTACTAACCAGAACTGAGTGTTTTCAACTGTTCAAACTTCACAGTAACTTTCTGTGACTGTTTTTCTTTGCTGCACACTTTTGTCTGTTAATTGGTGAGTGAACATGTAACATCAGTTTTTTGTCATGTCTGTTACTGTGTGCGTTTATTGAATATGTAACACCAGTGTTGTTATATGAGATCATGAGATCTGACTTTAAGTGTTAGATATAGATCGTTTTTACATGTTTGTTGAACGTATTTGGACAAATATGTATATGTATGAATGTGAAGTCACACAGTGTGTTTCTTCAACACTGGTTCCCAGTCTTCTCTGTAACACATGACAGAGCCGTGATGTTTACATGAAGGAGCTGTGACAGAGCCAGGTCCAGTAGACATGAAACACTGATGAACAGTGTTGATGTGTAGATGGGGACCCAGTGGAGGACTGACCTCTCAGATGTTTCGGGTCCTAAAGGGTTATACTGTACTCTATGTTGGGAACCAGTGTTTTACAATATATCATACACTATCAGATGAGTAGAGTAGAATAGAAACAGTAGAAAATGTAAATACAACAGTGTAGTTCATGTTGTAGTTCTTTGTGTGTTTGAGGTTTCAGGTGTCGCATCATTAGAATAAACTGTGATGCTTCATCAGAAGCATTTTCAGTCTTTTGTCTCACTGACTTGTAACATGTCTCCATCCTGTTCATCTGTTCATGTGTTCATGTATCTCCATTTTACTCATGTATTCATGGTAAGTAACCATGTCACATTCAATTGGTGGTAGTGAACCTCTGTCATCTTGTATTAGAGTCTCCTCTCTGCCATGTATTTCAAGATAACTCGCTTAGTGTTCAGATCAGTCTGTACAGTCTTTGTTGGTATTCTTAGACATTTTTTTCCTTTGTGACATGGTGTATTACCATGCTAGAAGTGGCCACAAGTTACCATTAGAAGATGGTAAATTGTGGCCATAAAATAAATCCAGATCCATCAGAACAGGTCTTCAACTGTCCAGTGTTGGTGAGCCTGTGTCCACTGTAGCCTCAGGTTTCTGTTCTTGGTGACAGGAAGTGGAACCTGACGTGGTCTTCTGCTGTTGTAGATTGGATGTGTTGTTCACTCTGAAGCTTTTCTGCTCAGCACAGTTGTAAAGATGTAAAGGTTACCTGAGTGACTGTAGCCTTTCTCTCCCTTCTCCTCTGACCTCACTCATCAACACAGAGCTGCTGCTCACTGGATATAAAAACTCTAGATACTGAGTTGAGACACACTCAGACCAACCATCATGAAGCTCAAAGTCTCTGAGTCACATGTTTCCTCATTTACTGAAGCTCCTTACCTGGATCTGCTGCTGTCACATGATTGGCTGACTGTATACCTGCATGAATAAGCAGGTGTACAGGTGTTCCTAATAAAGTGCTCACTGAGTGGATATTTATCATTTTAAAATAAGTTTAAAAAAATGTATAAAACTTATTTTGATAGTTTTGATCATTACATTTTCAAGAAGTGTCAATTATATTTATATGATCCATTTCACAGAAAACATCCAGCATTTATAACTACAATAAGTCTGATAGGTCAAAGTTCAGCCATAAATTTAATGATGAACTTGAATGATTCTGCTGTTTTGCTCTTCTAAATCTGTCATTTATATCATGTTTTTTACAGACAAAAAAAAACTGACTGTTGACTTATTTTTAGATTAAGTGCTCTTCTCACTGACAAAAACACACTTCCTGTAACTACAACTTATCAACAACTTCCTGTTGTCATCTCACTGATATGCTCTCTTTCAGTAAGTGTGATATTTATACATGATGTGAGCCTCCAGATAGTACCTGCTCTTTCAGCCAATCAAATGCTAGCATGCATAATTGGTCATCTGGAGATGTACCCTCTGGGAGGGCTTCACTCCAAACAGTGTGAACGTGTTCACTCAAATATTGGTAGGGACATGTCCTATCCTACACTCAGCTGCAAATATATAGATGCTGTAATATTTCCACCACTGTCTTTACTCATCCCATAGATAGTAAGATTGATTTAAATCAAAAGCTGCTGAGGAACATCAATACTCATTATGATATACATATATAATGTTCATGTGTTGCTTATGGTGTTGAGAAAACTGAAAACACAATCTACAGCTGGAATCAGTTCACTTTTAAAATACTGGCTAAGTTTTGAATTCAGCAGCTGTGACGCCATGTTTTGTTAACAACTGTAATGATGAAGTATTTTCAATTTGTGATTCGCACCTCCTAACTGGAAACTGAGTTCCTGCGGTCAGTAACATGAAGGGCATCATTTAAAGAAAAAGTTAAAATGATAACACAGAACAGGAAAAATCTATTTGAGAACCAGTGGCTCCTCCCACTGTATCATTGTGTTTGCATTAACTGCATGCGGCTCCATTCATTCTTTCACATGTTGAACATGAATCAGAGAAAGTGAAGAGGTGCTGCTGGTTGAGTTGTTCATGGCCTGTTGTGTCCTCTGGCAGTTTAAAAAGGGACCACCGGTTCCTCCACCACCAAAGGTTACACCTACCAAGGAGGTGGCAGAGGACCAGATCATCGACCTATTTGGAGGAGAATTTTTACCAGCACCTTCACCATCGCAGGTGTGTGGGGTCCACACACATTCTCTGTGCTTGTTAACTTTTCCTTATATGCACAGTGTGTTGTAAAATTCTGTTTACCCGTCTTTGTTTTGTTGTTATACACAGCCTAATGAACGACCTGGAGAATCTCTTCTTGACCTGGACTTTGATGCTTTTCAGCCAGATGAAAGTGTCTCGCCAATACCACAGGTTCTTTTCATTAACTGACACTGTTTCAGCTGCAGCACGTTGAACCAAGTTACACCTCAACACCAACACAGTGGTCTGAAAGAACAGTCTGAAAGCTTATTTTTATGAGAAGGGCCTGTTGACTGACTGAGGCTGATAACTACAAAAAACTTTAGTTAATCTGTTCAGTTTTTACTGAGTGAAGATTCATGAAGAGCTGCTTCAAATAACTTTGATGTTAATCTGTTTATATTGATATGTTACTGATGGAAACTGTGTAAAATATGTGATGATCAGCCACATTAACAACATGTGGTGTGCTCCTTTCAGACAACTATACCTTGGGACATGTGGTCGGTAAGTAAAGTCTTGTGTCTTATGTAAAGCTGTTTAGACTATAATTTACACTGCTAATGGACAATCACAAATGTGGACTTGATCCTTGAAATTTACTCTCAGATTATTATTGAGGGTAAAACATCACTTATTTTGAGATTAGCGGATGAATGAAGCGAATTTGGGCAAGTAATTATACAAATGAATACTTAATGATTAAATACAGACCAGTTTAGTTCTCTCTACAGATCTGAACCATTTCTTTACTTGTTTTTTCATTTTTTAAAGGGAAACGCACAAACAGCTCAGCCTGTAAGTATTCAGTTACACAACACCATTGTTTTGTTTGTCATCATCACTGAAACCTGAGAAATCACTGATCAATTTAGATTAACTGTCTCCTCAATGATAATGTTTACTGTAGTACATCAGTGTATTCACAAACTCATGCACTTCATTTGACCTTGGACCTTGTTTAGCTGCTGTTTCCACAAAGATGAAATGATCAACTAATGTCTCTTCCTGTTGGCATTTATTTTTTATTCGAATCTTTACATTTGCACTATTAATTTCAAAATATATTTGAATGACTGATGCAAAAAATCCACCTAGTTTACCATCCATGTGAAGAGACCTGTACTGTAGCTTTGGCGGCCCTGTTTGTATTTCTAAGTCTAAAATTACCCAAAATTCACAGAAAATTGATGATTCTGAAGTCAGTCAGAAACTGTGTATATATCTTTTAGATGGAAGCCATGATCAGTGTGTGTTTGTGCAACCATTCTCCAGATACATCACTCACCTACAGTGTCTAGATGGAAAACAGCTGCTCTGTATTTCCATGTACTGGCCTTCCAGTCAGAATCTTTGGGTTTAGAGCAGGGGGGTCAAACTTTAACCCTTCGTTCCCTGCGATTTCCAAGCAGGCTGCAGATGCCGGCTTCATGGCTGACTGGTCCGCAGACTTTGGTTCAGTGCCAGCAAATGGAGATGCCTCTTCAAGAGCTGAGGCCCCTGGTGCCCCTGCTGTAGTGCTGGAGGGGGCACAGGGTGGGGCTCAGGGCTGGCCCCAGGCAGATGACTTGCAGCCGGGTGGAGACACAGCTACACCTCCTCAGGAAAGCGAGGCAGCCACAGCAGCTGAAGACGAGGTTAGCAAGTGGGACTCTCAAACTAACCCCAACCTTCATCCCGCTGCAGTTGGAGATGAGGAAAATGCAACATGGCAGGCAGATTCAAGGGGGGGCATAGTAGGACAGGAAGACCGCAGGACGTCCACCCCAGGACTTATGTTCACCAATGAGTATGGTGAACAAATTGAGGACAGCACAGAGGACAGAGGAGAAAAGTGGTCCAGGTCTCCAGATGGTTCTGGGTCTGAATATGAGACTGCTGAGGAGTGGGGTGATGGAGGTCTAGGGGGGGGCTGGGCGAGTGCTGATGATGAACTTTCATACGAAGATCATCCAGTAAGCGGCTCAGAGGGGTGGGCAGGTGGAGCTGATGGTGTAGCAGCAGACTTGTCTGAAAAAGTCGAACAAGTTTCACCAGAGAGAGACACAGTTTATAGAAATCTTTATGAAACACAGGGAGGAGGTGCGTTTGATTCTGATCCTTCAGCTGAAACACAGGGAGGAGGTGCGTTTGATTCTGATCCCTTTGCTGAAACACAGGGAGGAGGTGCGTTTGATTCTGATCCTTCAGCTGAAACACAGGGAGGAGGTGCGTTTGATTCTGATCCCTTTGCTGAAACACAGGGAGGAGGTGCGTTTGATTCTGATCCCTTTGCTGAAACACAGGGAGGAGGTGCGTTTGATTCTGATCCCTTTGCTGAAACACAGGGAGGAGGTGCGTTTGATTCTGATCCCTTTGCTGAAACACAGGGAGGAGGTGCGTTTGATTCTGATCCTTCAGCTGAAACACAGGGAGGAGGTGCATTTGATTCTGATCCCTTTGCTGAAACACAGGGGGGAGGTGCGTTTGATTCTGATCCCTTTGCTGAAACACAGGGAGGAGGTGCGTTTGATTCTGATCCTTCAGCTGAAACACAGGGAGGAGGTGCGTTTGATTCAGATCCCTTTGCTGAAATACAGGGGGGAGGTGCATTTGATTCTGATCCTTCAGCTGAAACACAGGGAGGAGGTGCGTTTGATTCAGATCCCTTTGCTGAAACACAGGGGGGAGGTGCGTTTGATTCAAATCCCTTTGCAGAAACACGTGGAGGAGGTGCGTTTGATTCAGTTCCCTTTGCGGAAACAAAGTCTGGAAACAAGGTGGGTGGATTTCAATTTGATCCATTTGCTGAGACCTTAGGAGAATGTGGGGTTACTGGGGATGGGAGTGAGTGGAATGCAGACCCTTTTGCCAACAGTTTCCCAGCAGCCTCTTCAGGGACTGAAGGTCCTGCCTTCAGCACCACGTCCTGGCAGGAAGTTAGTGACAGCAGTGGCTTCGTGTCCTCTGTCACTCAACAAAACTCTGCGTCCATCTCTGGAACAGCAGCAGATGTAAACGTTCCCAGAATTCACAGAGAACCAGAAAATTCAGACATGTCCGAAGATGAGGCCGCAAACCGGAGATTTGGAAAGTTGTACCAAGAGCTAGATACAGAACAGGAAGAGGTACTTGACTTCCTCCCTTCTCGAGTTTGGTAGATTAGCACAGAGTACATTAGAAATCAATCAAATCCCTTTCCTGCTTTCTACCCTCCCACAGATTCACAAAGTAAAAGTAGTCATTCTAAAACCTGGATCCCAGCCTGAGCTCCTCCCGCCTCTCCACTTGCTTCATCTGCTTGTTAATTCCATAATTTTGTTCTTCTTTACAACTCATTTAGTCATCTTAAATGTCTCTGATACTAACCTGTGTCTCTGAATTCATTCAGGTGACCAGTGCATTTAATGGATTTTCACAGGTAATTTTTCAAAGTAAATTTAAATTTAAAGTCATTGTCCAGAAGAAGCATTAAAATGTAGTTGATAGAGATGAATTCAGCTGTTCTGAGGACAGTGTTTCACATCTAATTCAGTACATGGAGAATTTAAGTGTCACCGATAATTTTACCTATTTATATTATCTGTTCATTGTTTGCTGTTTCAGTGTCCCTTCTGCTAATTTCCCTTCTCTTAATGTCTCCTCTCTTGTTGTCCTATCCCCTATTGTTGAATGTCTCATCCATTTATTTCCAGTCTCCTAATGTCTTGTCTGTTTATTTCCTGTCTATTAATGTCTCGTCTGTTTGCGTCCTGTCTATTAATTTCTTATACCCTAATGTCTCATCTCTTAATGTCTCAAATCTTAATGTTCTGTAAATACTCTTCCCTCTCTTCTGTGAATGATAAATCATTTTTTATTTGTGCATCTTTATCTTAAGTTGTAACTCTTCTCCATTTTTCACACATGCATTCTGAAGGATGCTTCTGCCCCATCATTTTTTGCTGATTTTGATAAGATGGTGAGTTATAATTTTAAGTTTATTATGAGCAATATTTTATTGAAGATAACACATATGGAATGGTGTATTAATGTTTTTGATTTATTGTTCTGTTGAGCAGATCAGTTTATTGAGGACCCTTTGTAAACATTTTCATTAAATGTTTTTCTTCTTTCTGTTTGATCAGTAGTTTTTTGTAATATCTCAGAGTTAGGGCTAACCCTGAGATATGCTGAGGACTTTTATTCTGATTGTAACTGTAAAATATTTAAAACTTTACTTTAAACTTAAACTTACCATAAACATCTATGAAGTCTGACATGAGGAAAATGAGCAGACATGAAGGATGGACCATTTAGACAGGTGTAAGCTCTTGTTATGAATTCTGAGCCATTTACTCAATTTCGTGCAAAATATCAGCAGCTGCATTTCAACTGTTTGAGGGTTGATCACCGTCTTCCCTTGCAAAAGAACAAAGCTAATGCTGAATCAACTGGGGCTCCTGGAGCCTCAGAGACACAAGCTGCTGCCTCGACAGAACCTGCTGAGGAGCAAGACAAACCTGCAGCCCCCCCTGCTGGAGACGAACCTGCAACCCCCCCTGCTGCAGTTGAACCTGCAACCCCCCCTGCTGGAGACATACCTGCAGCTTCCCCTGCTGGAGACGAACCTGCAGCTTCCCCTCCTGGAGGAAAGGTGGATGAACATCCTGCTCCACCTGCTGGTGAGGAAGTCACAGCAGAAAGTCCTGGCAGCCCGAAGGAGGAGAACCCTGCTGTGAGTGGACACATTGATCCCAGTAGCTCAGTAACGACACTCCTGCTTTCTATGATCACCTGATCATCATCATCAGCATTGTCACCATCATCATCATCACCATTGTTGTCATCATTGTCATAATCATTACATTATTATCATTATTGCCATTATCATGGTCATCACTATTATCATCATCATAATTGCCATCACCATCCTCACTATCATCATCTTTGTCATCCCCATCATCGTCATCATCATCATCACCATGTTATCTACATAATTAGTACAATGTAAATCATAAAATATTAATGTGTTGAATCTTTACTTTCAGTTCATTATTTTTATGGTATAATGTGATTAAGGTCACAAACATGTTCCACACAAGGATGCAACCACACACTTTGAGGTACGCCACATGCATGAAATGGATTGTTGCATTACGGAGGGTATCACAATGCAGCAGAGGTGTGAGCTGTGGTCTGAGCGTTGCAGCTGGGGTCACTATGGCATGAAACAACAGAAAGCTGACCCCTTTTCTTCAGCTCTAGCTGAACTTTGTCAACTCTTTATTCAGCCAAAATCTCCATTCTTCCTCCATGAGAGATTCTAAGATCACAAATCACATCTGCTTAGTTTCCTTTGTCTTTGTGCAATGTACACAGCAGTTCTCACACATTCCTCCATGGATGTTTCTTTGCTTACTACTGCGGTCATGGAAATGCTCTGATAGACCTACATCGCCTCCTTGAGGACTAAAATAGATCACCTCCAGTGTTTAAGAGCACAGTTTGAGTTCATGTGTTCATGGCAGCTGGGCCATTTGTATTAGTGTACTGTATTTGTATAGAGCATGTTTGTGGCCTAAATGTGATTTTTCTCTCCAAAGTCAACGGTTGGATCTCCCAGCTCTGAGAAACCAGAACTTGGTGAGGTATGTTGATGGTTTTAATATTTTATTAGTATTTCTGTCAACAATGATTAAAGAATTGAATAATAAAAATGCTGCAAGTAATTGCAAGTAACATTTTGACAACACACAAAGTAGTCAAACAATAATAGTTATGAATCTGTTATTTTGTTGATTTAATTTTGCATTGTTTCTGTCATCCAACACAACATGTGCCTTGTTTTTGGTTTCATTTGCAATTTTCACAATGTACAAACCTGTGCTCTGTGAGGTTTATAAAGGAATTCCATAATACTTTGAGTTATTTAGATTTGAGGAAAGTCAATATCTCTAGAGAATAACTGCTACACAGATGAAAGCAGGACTTCTGAATGTTTAGAGAATTTAGATTGAAGAACTAGGATGACTGTGCCACACCAACCAGGATATAATCAAAATGAGTTTAGGAATGATTTAAGATTTATTAATCCTTTAGATTTATTTCAGTCTTGTGTGCGTTTGTGCGAGACAGTAAGAGGTTTGTTAATAAGAGGTCCATGCTGCTTATCCCCTGCAGGAAAAGATGCCGATCCCCTCCGTGGTGATTGAACCCGCCTCCAGTAATGAAGGTGACGATGACCGCGATACTGACATCATCTCCCCCACTGCCATAAGTGACAATGGTGTTACTGCACAAAACCAGACCATTAAACACATGAGTCCATCTGGTGGCATCTCAGGACTCCCTGATGACTTTCTCTATAAGGTGGGACTTCCTCCACATCTTAACTGCTAACTTTTACATCAGCACTCGTATATGTTTTTTATATAAATGATTAACCTGCTCAGTCTTTTGTTAGCATAGGTGGTCATGGTGTTTTTCTTCCTGCAGGTGGAGACAATGCATGACTTTGAAGCTGCAAATTCAGATGAACTTGAACTTAAGAGAGGTGATGTGGTGTTGGTGGTTCCAACTGCTTCAGTAGAGGATCAGGTGAGCAGAGCAGATGACATGTTGAAGTCCAGTAATTAAAGTCCAGCAGCCTTTTGAAAGGAAGGAATGAACAAAACCGTAATATTACTTAAGGCTGATAGTGGTGTTTTTATGGCTGTTGTTGTTGCAGGATGCTGGCTGGCTCACAGGGATCAAAGAAAGTGACTGGTTAACACTTGGAGCTGGTGCTCAAAAAGGACTGTTCCCGGAAAACTTTACCCAGCGTTTGGAGTAAGAGGTCTCTTTAGATGGCAGATAAAATCAGAAGAAATTTGAAACACTGGTGTCCAAGCAGTCCAGTCAGCATGTAGCCATCCCCGTCCTGAGAAAAACCTGTGGTCTCCTGCAGCTGTCTGCTGGACAACACAAGGCTTTCTCTGGTCTGCACTCTCCTGAAAGGGAAACTCATGGTAATAAATACTAGTACTATTCCCAGCAGAAGTGAAAATTAAAAAGCATGATGTGATAATATGGTCTACCTTTCCTGGAACTAAGATCTTTTTTTTTTTTTTTTTTAAAGAAAAAATATGATGTATGGTTTATTGGGAATGTTGAAATATCTACATGTTCACACCTACAAAAGCAGGACGTGTTTCTGGAGTTAACTAAATGAAAAATAAGAAAAACTGCACCTTTTTTGCACCGTGTGTTGTACTGATTTTGTTGCTCTGCTGTGGAGTATACGAGAATCTGTAGTGCTGTGATCTATTTAAATGTTTTTGAGTGTAACATGAATTTCTTGAGTTTGTAGTTTTTTTCAGACACATCATTGCTGTTACCTTTGAATCACTGTTAGTGTATTTCTGTGTTTTGGTTGAGTGTGTGGTGATCTTTCTTTGGCATATGTGGCAATTAATGAATTTATTGAAAAGTGTTGCTGTGTTTCTGCCAAAAGAATATTGACATGTGTTATTTGAGTACTGGCCAACGTCAGTGCCCATCCAGCATGAAAATCTCAGAACATTTATTGAATTAAGTATTTTAAAATACAATAAAAACAAAATCTCCATACTATTAAAATATTGTATAATTCAAGTCTTATAAAAATTATATTTGCAAGAAAGTGAACCAACCAGACGACAGCTTAATCTTATCAGCCATCTATATATAAGTGTACAATCACAGGGAAGGTATTAACAAATCCAATATGCAATCTATGTTGTCGGATTATTTTAGGTCTCCATATTCCAACAGTTCTGTAGATCAATGAAGTTGGTGTCACTTCCTTTGATAGTGAAGTTAACCCCCAATTTAGACATTTTGTGATGTACAAACCATAACCATTAATGTCATGATCAATAAATGAGAGTTAATACTGTATAAAGCATTGTTGGGCTATTTGTTGTTCAGACACATTCACTATGACTGATTTTTTAACAAAGTATCATAGCTTAAAACTTGGAGTCCTAAATTACTTAGGCTCCTGCTAAATTTCCTCTTTATACCTGTTTCCTCGATGCTAAGAGATACAACCAAAGAATTGAGAGAGCTGCTGAGATGGACATGGACATGTTTCATGACTTAACTTCCTTTGTCTGCAGGGACTGTTCTCTCTGAGTGAAGTGGGAAAGAGGATGGAGTTAGTAAAAGAAGGAAGCAACACCAGCTAACTGTGCACAGAGCTGTGGCTTGGGTTCGGGCGTGTAAGACTATTTTGGATTAGAATAAGGGATGAAAACCACCTCAAATCAATCCTTTTGGATTCTTTTGGGAATAACTTTTTTTCTGAAGGTGATAGAGACTTACAACCATGTTCTGCATATAGGTTTTCAGTTACGCCCGTTCCAACGGTACCAAGCCTGAGTCTCTACGACCTTACGTTCAAAAGTTAGTCAAGTAACATCCCCATATGGGAAATGTGAAAAATGAAGTGTTGAGGCTGAAAACGACCTCTCAGAAAGTGGTTAGGAGCACGTTTCAGACCATTTGGAGTCATTTGATATAGGTTTGTAGTGATGTTTTTTTCAAAGTGAAAGGGTTAGGGTTAGGTGAAGAATGCTATGAAGCTTATTTTTCCGGGTTGGATTCAGGTGCACTAGCCTGGGGGTGTACCGGACGTCGTGGACCCCCTCACCGATCCTGTGTAGGTTGTGGAAGGTAAGTGAATGATATTTTGTTATGTTATTGTGTGCTTGTAGTTGTCCTGATGAAGGCTGTATATGGAAAAAATGAGAAGACATAATGTTTAAATCATATAGAAATTGCATGTAAAAAACAAGACAAAAGATCATATGGATTTGACGTTATAATGTAAATATTAGTTGGCTAAAAGGAAAATTTAAACAAACAAGAAAATGAGAAAGAAGAATCCAAAGTCTGGTTTATGGGTGAAAGAATTTTTTTTATTTTTTGATGAAGTGAGTGGTGTTTAATTGGTCCAGTCCTCTCTGCTCTCTTTTCTCTCCTCCATTGTAGTTTTCAGTTGGGATGCTGGCTGACTAGACATGATGAGTGAGCGGGGTGTCATTTACACCCCCCACCCACCCCCACCCCCCCAACGCTGAAAAGTTGTTCTTTTTGATATTGTTATGAGTGTAATGTATGTGTACTTTATGTTGTGTTTAATAAAGTTGTTCATGGTGTCCAGTGTCCTGTAATGGAGAGTTGATTAAATTTGTGGGTCTATATGGAGTGATGTGGCCGGTAGGTCCCCCCACTGGTGCAACCTGAAAGCAATTGAGTAAATTAGCAGTTGGTTATAGGTGTAATTGTGTACACCAGTGGGAGAACATCCTTCTTGCCGTGTCCGTGGTCCAATGGATTTGGTTGTCAGTGGTGAAGAAGTGTTACTGTGGAAGAGCATCTAAATACAGTAAGTTATTTACAATGTGTGTATTGATGATCTCCAGGTTTTGCTGTTGTTCTGTGGGTAAGAAGTGAGAGAAGTTAATGATTGGGACCCTGATTTCAGTGTTGAGGTAGGTGTGTCTGACCCTCCTGTACAGGCCTGGATCTGGGGGTGTTTGCTGGGGTTATTGTAAGGGCGGAGTTGTTTGAATGTTTCAGTCACCAAGGATTAGGATGGTATTGGTGCTCTGAAATTGAGAGATGTGACTCCTGCAGTGAGGATGGCAGCTCAGATATAGAGGGTGAGTTAAATGGCCTTTATTATCAAATTTTATTTTATTTTTAAAGAGAAGAAGAAAAAGAAGGCAGGCCACAGACTGGAAAACTGACAAAGGTCAACATCATACGGGTAGACAGACAGACACAGGTCACAAGACTTAAATGTCATACTATATAATCATACAAGGAGTAGGTGCTCAGACAGGTGGAGGGTTAGATGATTGGTGAAATTTACACAAAGAACACAACGGGGACAACTAGGAGAGAAAAGGCAGGGTCAACAGATGTTAGTGGACAGGAAGAAAATGAACAGATAATGATTGTGAGTATTTAATCAACTTTATTGAGATGAGTGCGGATGACATGTTCCTTTTTGTTTGCTTGTTTTTCAGTTGAAGGCTCTGACCTCTCATCCCCCAAAAAGAGACCTGACCCCCTCAGTGAGGATGGGATTGCAGCTATAGAGGGTGAGTTAAATGGTGTTTATAATGACTACAGGTCTCTTGGTCCATGAGCTTTCCTGAATATATGTTTTTTTTAGGCCTAGAAGGTATTAAAATAAATATAGACCGCTGTGGTCAGCTGTGGCCATAGTACTTATGTACGTGTTTCCATTGCGCAGTATATGTGTGTCTATTTTTTTCACTTGTTGTTTTGATTTAACATTAGGCCTACATTTTTATATGTGGACCTGGAGACAGAGCAAGAGCAACTTTCTCAGGACCTTAGCGAAGGAGAAGCTGATGATTTAGTGATGAGGAAAGTCACTGTCGGATGGCACATCTGTCAGCATGTCCGCTCATGACGCAGCCACTTTGCAAACATTATTTAGTGAGAACAATCTAGACCTTGATTTTGTAAATAGTTGGCTTGTAGCCTATAAAGGGTAAGCAACATCTAGAATCACCCTCATTTATGGTGAATAAAGAATTATAATGCAGTCTAATAAATCTCAACTGTCTAGTCCAGTACACACGCCACACCGGTCTCTGAGAGCTCGTAGGCTAGGTCACATCCAGGTGGAACGATTGGGGGAAAAACCAAACTCCAACACATTATATGAAGAAGCAGAAGTTTGTCTGTTACTGTTGTGGATGAGGGTCCAGAGGCCATGAGGCCCTCACAGAAGAGGAAGGAAAGAGGACAAGATAGGAAGACTATGGAGGCACTGGGTGAATTCTTTACAACTGTTTAAGAAGCTTATATCTAAAAACTTGTTTTATAATCATGACTCAACCAATATTCTCATATTTAAACAGTGTTCCATATTTCAGTGCAGCAATAATGGGTTTGTCTGGCTATTTAGTGGTGCTAAAGTAGGAAGGACAGAAAATTATATAAGAATAAATAAATAAATAGATGAATAAATTGTCACAGTCTTGTATTTTCTCCGTGTTTTCCCCTTCTCCTTTTGTGGGTGTGTCTTTGTCTGTGTCTGTCTGGAGCTGGGGCGGCGCCAGGAGGTCAACTGGAATCAAGCTGTGCACCTGCTACAATCACTCACCTGCTCCTCATCTCACAATCAAGCCACCTACACTGCTGCAGGATAAAAGACCGGTTCATTCTTCCATTCCTCGCTAGATCGTCCGTTACCCTCCTGTGGTAAACCTCAGACTACTTTGTATTTTTTTTTATTCTGGCACTAACCTGCGATTCTCCGGTGTCTAGTTCCTGTGTCCTGCTTTCTGGCTCCATTCCTCACGTCAACCAGCTCTGCTTCAGCTACTCACCTGCCCTTCTGGAAACTCCACAGCCTGGATCCACATTGGCCCTCAGCCCCCCTTACTGTTTCTCTACAAAATAAACTGTGATTCTCATCCTATTCGGTGTCCTCAGTCTGCATCTTGTGGTCCCACATTCAGTGTACGTAACATAAATTCTGAAATAGATAGTGAAATACTTTAAGAAATACAAAATAAAAACATGTTGGTAATAAAAAACATTTATTTATTGATGCACTTCTACATTTATTTATTTATTTCCACATTTATTTATTGCTGTGTGTATGTTAATTAGGTAGGTGGTCCTTTCTCAGTCTAAAGCCAGATTGGTTATAGCGGCGTGATTGATTGGATGGATCTGCTATACTGCCTAACAGTGGTTAGCAACAGGCTGGTTAGCAGCCACTGAACTTTTCAAGTTAAAAATCTACATATAGCACATTTTAATGACGAGACCTGTACATCTGAAAAATAGATCATATGGGCTGTGTTTCAGTTACTGGTTACTCATACTTGTTCCATTGTCTGACAGCAGAAACAGAAAACACGACAATGAGGACAGCTTTATTGTGAATTCAGCTGTATTAAAAAACTATATGTGAGCACAGAGAGGAGGAGAGAAGCAAACAGATAAAGATCTGAAACCAGCTGATGTGAGGCAGGATGCAAATACGATGTGAAGATGCACAAAACTTCCCATCAGGGCTACATAAAACTAACTGAAAAATGATGGGTGTTGAACTCAACGCACACCATATTGTTATTATTATTATTAATTATCATCATTCCAACCCGCTTGATAGTCCTCCCCTCCCCCTATCTCTCCTCTCAGCTTGGCCTACAGAGCGTGGGCGACACCTTTTTAAAAGGGAGGGAGTTGCCTCCTGCGAGGCAGCACTGGTGACTCTCCTTGAGGAAAAGTAGTAAAATTTTGTTTAAAAAGTCACTAGATTTGTTGCTCGGTGCTTCATGAAAAAAACGTCACTAGACTAGAGTCTCACAAGTCACTAAATCTAGCATCGAAGTTGCTGGAATGGCCACAGTGGAAAGGCAAAGCTCCTGGGTATCAGTCAAGCCAGTAGTAGCAGATCTATCCAATCAATCACGTCGCTACGACCAATCCGGCTTTAGACTGACAACGAACCGCCTACCTAATTAACACACGCAAATAGAATTAAAAAAAAAAATAAATGTAGAAATAGGTCAATTAATAAATAAATGTAGAAATACAGAAATGAATAAATACATACAGTACATGTCACACCGTGGTGAGGTTGTCTTGTCTTGGGTTTGTTTTGTCCTGTCATTTCCTGTTTTATTTTGAAAAGTAATTCTCTTCTCGTTTCAGGTCACTTGCCCTTCCTCATGTGTCTCAGTCTGATTGCCCTAAGTGTTTCCACCTGTTCCCTATTTCCCTCCATGTGTTTAAATAGTCTGTGTTCCCCTTGTCTTGTGCCAGAGTGTCATCGTCCTTGTCCTGCACCAGAGCCTTTGTCCATGTCCACAGCCATAGTAG